GAAACCCCAGGTCCAGGGGAGGGGGAGGGGGGAAGGGTAAACCCCTCCCCGAAGGGGAAAAAGGGGGTTGGAAGAGGAGCCTCTCTAGACCACCTACGCCCAGAGGGCTGGTGGGACTCATGCCGTCGGAGGGCCTCGCCTGTCCCCAAAGTTGGTGTCGTTTCTTGTGCTCGATGCGGACTCGGCGCGGATTTGGCGTGGATTCGACGCGGACTCGACACGGATTCGACACGGACCCGACGAGTCCGACGTGGATTCGACAGGGGCTCGACGCGGATAGAGCCGCGACGGGACCGACAAGATCCCCCCCCGAGGATGCAACGTAACCTTGGGCCCTGCTCCCCCCCCTGAGTTCTTGGCGCCCCAGCTGTTCCGAGCCGGGTGTGTTCGCTTCTTGTTCAGGCCCCGGGACCCTGCACGGATCGCTCTGGATCGGGCAGACGGCGCAGCAAGACGGGTTCCATGGCCCCGGGCGTGATTTCTGCGATGTCGTTTCTGTTCCGCTGCGTCGGCTCTCAGGGCCCTGGCTCCCCCTGCTGCTGCTGCTGCTGCTGCTGCTGCTGCTGCTGCTGCTGCTGCCTCTCTCCCCCGGGGAGGTGCGATCTCTCTCGGGGGCTCCAGGAGCAAACAAAACACAGTTCTTTCCGACGCTCGATCCCTCCATGCCTCCCTCCCTCTCAGCGGTTGCAGGTACGGCTCCGCGATCCCTCAAAGGCCTGTGCGGTAGCAAGCTGGCCAAGCACGGTACAGGATGGCAAGGGGGTGGAGTCGGGTGAAACAGTCGACTCTCCGCCCGAGTCTACCATCATGGCCAGTTTGAGTGTTATGTTGTTTGCATTCGCGCAGGGGTCCACTCCACTCCCTTGCCATCGAGGGAGAAACAGGAGGAGATGGAGGCAGGAGGGGGAGGCACGAGGAGGGGGGAGGAGGAGGAGGAGGAGGAGGATGAGGCAGGATGGATGTGGAGGCAGAAGCCAAGAGGAGTAGCCAGGAGGAGGAGGAGGAGGAGGAGGAGGAGGAGGAGGAGGAGGAGGAGGAGGAGGAGGGGAGGAGGAGAGGCAGGACGTGGAGGAGGGAGGAGACGGAGGAGGAGAGGAGAGGAGGAGGAGGAGGAGGAGGAGAGGGAGGAGGGGAGAAGGAGGGGGGAAAAGGAGGGAGGAGGAGGAGGAAGTTGGAGGCGAGGAGGAGGATGATGAGGAGGAGGAGGAGGAGGAGGAGGAGGCAACGGAGGAGGGAGGCGATGATGAGGAGGAGGAGGATGAGGAGGAGGACGACGACCACGTCGGTGGCGATGGCGATGATGACGGCGACGACGGCGGCGGCGCAAACGGCGCCGACGGCGCCGAGTGCCAGGGCCGACCCGCCCTCCCTGCTGGGCCAGGCTTCGGGTGTGCCTCGCACCTGGGCGTCGTGTGCGACGTGTGCACCGTCGGCGTGGTCGGCCATGGGGCCAGACCTCCTCCCCCCCCTGCGGAGGGAAGGAGGAGGGATGGGGAACGAAGAAGTGGAGGAAAATAGGAGGAGGCGGAGGAGGAGGAGGAGGAGGAGGAGAAGGAGGAGGAGGAGGCGGAGAAGGAGGAGGAGGAGGAGGAGGAGGGGGGGACGTGGAGGAGGAGACGGAGGAGGAGGAGGAGAGAGGACGGAGGAGGGAGATGGGTAGGAGGAGGAGGAGGAGGCGCAGCGAGGAGGAGGAGGAGGAGGAGGAGGATGGAGGAGAGATGAGAGGAGGAGGACGGCGGAGGAGGAGTAGGAGGAGGAGTTGGAGGAGGAGGAGCATGAGGAGGAGGGGGAGGGGGAGGAGTACAAGGAGGAACGAGGCGATGAGGAGTAAGAGGAGGAGCAGGGGAAGGAGGATGCGGATGATTACAAGGATGATGATGATGATGAGGAGGAGGAGGAGGAGGATGAGGAGGAGGAGGAGTAGGAGGAGGAGGAGGATGAGGAGGAGGAGGAGGATGGCGAGCACGATGCTGATGACGCTGACGATGATTATGCTGATGCTGCTGATGATGTTGCTGATGCTGATGCTGATAGTGCATATGACGAAGATGATGATGCTGCTGCTGATGATGATGACGATGCTGATGCTGTGGATGATGCTGAGGCTGAGGATGATGCTGCTGCTGATGCTGATGGTGGTGGTGGTGATGGTGCTGAGTCTGATGATGCTGATGCTGATGATGCTGATGCTGAGGCTGCGGATGATGCTGCTGCTGCTGATGACGATGATGCTGGTGACGATGATGATGCTGATGATGATGAGGAGGAGAAGGAGGATGAGGAAGAGGGAACGGCGGAAACGTAGGAGGAGAATGCTGAGACGATTGATGATGAGTAGGAGGAGGAGGATGCCGAGGCCGAGGAGGAGGAGGCGGAGGAGGCGGAGGAGGACGCAGAGGATGATGATGAGGAGGAGGAGGATGACGAGGAGGAGAGGGAAAGGGCGGAACACACAGGGAGGAGGGGGATGAGGAGGAGGACGAGGAGGAGGAGGAAAAGG